TTTGAAAATAAAAGAGAATTTTGTTTATTTAATTGATGTGGTAATAAATTGTTTGGATATTGTCTATTGGATTTCAAAGACTTTAATACTGCTACTACATCTGTGATGTTGAATACATAATTTTCTAATCTGGTTTCTTTTGGTGCAAAATTTTCATTAAATTCTTTTTCAACAAAAACAAGTCCAAAAGATTTAAGAATGATAATTATTTCTTCAGGTGAAGAGTTGCTTTTCTTATCACTATAACAAAAACATTTTTGAATAGTTTTTAATCTCCTCAAAGTAATATTAACATTATCATCATTAGTTGGTAAAATATGAAGATTTTCAAAATGTTTAAATTCAAACATTTTTCTGCACAATAAATTATCCCATAACAGATAAATCCATTCGCGTTGATTATTATCATTTTTATGCATTTTTATCTCATCGTATTTTTCATTGTAATTAACCGAATTAGCCAGGTTTGACTTGATCATTTTAGCAACTACACTTTCATTCAAAATTTTAATGTTGCTGATTCCATGACGATTCGTTTTTGCATTGTTGTATAATTTATTCCATAAATTTGATGAAATTTCTTTATCAACGAATTTTGCTAAACAGTTTTTAAAAATCTTTCTCTCATCATATTCAAGCGTTACTTGATTATTGTCAGGACCAATATAATAACAATCCTCATCCTCTCCTTCGTTTGATGATGCTGTTGAAATTGTGCCTAATGATCCATCAGATAATGGAATCATTTTTAATCCATCTAAATAATCTGATTTATCATCACCCAAAATATAATTAAATATGATGAGAATTTTATCTCTTGGAATATTTTCCAACAGATATTTCCTTTCATAGAAAAACATTTTTACAATTCTGGGTGAATAGAATTTAATTGAAGACCCATTTTTAGATTCCTTCAACACAATCAATATTTCACTAGGAACTTCTATCACAAGGAATCCTAAATCTGCCAAAATTTTGAATATTCTTTGATCCTGTGTTTGTGATTCATCTGCAAAGTATCCGTCAGAAATAGATAACCAACAAAAATTTCTATCAATTGATGATGGTGAGGATGATGATAGTGATGCTGAATTGGAGTCAATGATTTTAGAAGGACTAAAAAAAACTTTGTCTTCAACTTTAATATTTTCCACAACATTTAATAAAATATCTTTACAAAATTTATTGACACTGGATCTTTTTGATGAAAATAATGGCCAAAGTGAATAAAATTCTTTGGAATTGTTGTAGATCACATGAGAAGAACATAGTTGATGTAACAATTCTACCCATGCAGATGGTAACACTTGGTTAAACAAATATTGATTCCAACCAACTTTAAGACGAGCCAATGAACCTACAGCCTTCATTTAAAAAATAATTTTATTTATAAATATATATTTATATAATAAATATTTATATAAATTGAATTCACTTACCAGATCTTCATTATCAGCAGGTAAAGAACGGCGATTTGTGCTAACCTATAAACATATATTAATATGATTATAAAATGTATATTAGCATAATATATTAAAAAGCATTTATGAAAGTTACCGCAAAATATCCATGAACAGAAACTCTAAAAGGCATTTCAATAGGGAGTGGCAGAAAACAAAATAATCGACCAAGTGCTTGCTGATCATCTAAACAAACAGCCAATCCGACATTTGGAACAAATTTGTATTCTTCAATGCTTCTTTGAAATTGCTTTATGAAATATTTTTCTGCTTTATTAAGATTATCCAAGTAATTTAGAATCAACCATTTTTGAATTTCTGGCTTGCTATCCTTTTTGTTAACACATTTACTAAATTCGGCAATGTATGCTGGTTTAGAAATACTGGTATCAACTCTTTGATCTTGAAAAATTTTCATTTGATTGACAATTTGCTCGACAACTAATCGACGTCGACTTTTAACTTTATCAGCATTTTTTAATTTAATCTGGTATAACAAATCAGGTTCCATGGCGCCTTTTTTAAATTCATAGAAAGAAATTGTTTCGATGTATTTCAAGAAAAGTAAACAACTGATACTTTCTTTTTGATAAAAATTTTCAAACATTTCCAATATTTTATTTGGACTATAACTTATATTAGAAATATAGGAATCAATAGAATCTTGCTCAGTTCTTAGTGGATGTTGAATTCAATGTTGCCAAAGGGCTTTGAGAATGGCAAAAATTGATCTTTATAAGAATTTTGTAAATCGTCTTCAACGAAATCAAAAGAATGCCCGCCTTCGAAATAATATTCATGTGGATCAAGAATCACATAATTCCTATTAGTAATAAATGAAGGAGAATCGGTTATATGATAAATTGAATTGAAACCAACACCCATAACTAGTATTAATAAAGTAATAATTAATTATTATTGAAAATC